TTTACATTTCCTTAATGGTTTGCAGGTTATTACATAGTGGAAGGTTTACTCAGTGCGCACAAAGTGCTTACCATAGAGTGCTCATCCAAAGGGCAGAGACTGTAGCGACCGCGCGTTTTCCTAGAAGTTTCCAAAAAAAAAAAAGCAAAGAATTTAATTCAAAATCCCAAAAATAATAAATAAAAAATAGTAGTTTCTAAAAGTGTAATTTTTCCAAAATCAAGGGCCAAGAGTATAGACAATAAATTATGTAGTCCTAGTCACACACAAGCGGGATACAAGAGGCCACAAAGAGGGTTTGCTTTTGTTGGCTCGACGAGTGAGCTGATCTTTGCTGCTTCCAACTGTGTATAAATACGTAGCCCCCCTCTCCCTACATTTTCTCCTTTTTCTCTGTAAACCCTCAGAGAGCTTCAGCCCCCCATTTATTATTCTCTTTTTCTTTTTGAATCTGAAGGGAAAAGAGAACAGGAAAATAGAATGGTAGAGAAGCCAAAATCTGGAGGTGTTTGGCCCACTGTTAAGCCCTTTGTTAATGGAGGTGCTTCTGGTATGCTTGCCACCTGTGTTATTCAGCCCATCGATATGATCAAGGTATACCCCTTAAACCACGTATGACTATTACTGTTCTTGTTTGTGAAGATCCTGCCTTTTTGATGTTTTGAGGGTGTTCTGTTTTTTAGATGTGTTTCGTTAGTGGGTCAAGTTCAGATCTTGGCTCAAATGAGTGTCATTTTGGGGTTTTATTGCTTTTTTGTTTTGTATGTGATGTTTGGTTTTGATCTTATGGTGTATCTGGTGAATTCAGATCTTAGATCAAATGGGGATTATGCTGCAATGTCTCATTTTACGTTTTCCAATTTAGAGCTGTTTTTGTGGTGAATGAACAAGATCTAGCCTTAAAAAGATTTGATCTTTACACTAGGAATTTCTTCCCATCTTCCTAACCCTTGGTGTCAGGGTTATCCAGTACCTATGTTCAGAGGCGGAGCTAGGATTTGAAGTTTATTAGTTCAGAATTTTAGTCTTTTTAAGTTAATGGGTTACCGAAAGGCTAGCGCCCTTTGCCTATGTTGGTGCTTGTGGGAGGTAGCAGGTATCCGATGGAATAGTCGAGTTGCGCGCAAGCTGGCACGGACACTACCATTATAACAAAAAACTGAATCTTTGGATTTTTTATTCAGTATGAGATAAAGTTTGAATCTTGCAGTTTGTAATACTACTACTTAAATTTGATGGGATCTATTCTGATTTATGGTACTTTCTTATGATGGCAGGTGAGGATACAATTGGGTCAGGGATCAGCAGTTGATGTCACCAAGACCATGCTTAAAAATGAAGGCTTTGGTGCCTTTTACAAGGTTTGTTTCCCTGAGATTTATATTGGTTAACTCGGTCCTTGAGTAATAATGTTGCACCATTTACTTGTTGATCTCTGACTGAATAATTCATTATTTTATCTTAGATCACAAGAAACAGATAGGTATTTTAATTCCCCACTAATAATGAGTATACCTGCTCTTTTAAACTTGGTGCTGAATGGGTTTGTAGTCCTTATATTATAGTATTCTCAAGAGACGACTGATAAATATTTCTAATGTTTCACCTTGGTTATGGCGTTATGCCTTACCAAATTAGCTACTTTTTTGGAGCTTATGGTATTTTAGCATTACCTTTTACTATCTCATATGATCCTGAAAAGTTTAAATGCCTGAAAGGAACAATTTCTGAATTTTTTTGTCAATCGATAGTACACCTGGAAAATATCAGAAAGAGAACTAGATGATGCTTTCCTCTAGAAATGAGCTGGTGAAAGTCTTTCTGTATTTAATACAAATGTTTTACGTCTTTCAATACCCATCTTTGGCGTAATGCGTAAGAGATACTCTGATTCCATTCAAACTTTTAATTGGTGAATGCTACAAGTATAACCTATCATGGATAAGACTGGTGCCGAGTAACATAGATTGGATTATATAAGGTGACTCCCAAATGCATTAATCTGTTGTATGATTATCAATTGAGATTTTTTAGATTTCCCGTGAGAGTTCTTGGGGAAAATAGATTATCATACCTAAAATCCAGATGGTTTTACTTGAAAGACAATTGATAAGCTTACAAATACTTTAAGCTTTAGTGACTGTAGCTTCAAAGATTAGTTGGACTTCGCAATACTTGAATAATCTTGACTCTGAGATGGATGTCATACTATCAATGTAAAATCTAAGGCTGATGTTCTGTGTCAAGGTTGTCCAAAGTAATGCCGTCCATTATTGGATCAGCTTCATTGAAAGCTGATGGCCTGATGCACTTGTTTTATTTAATGCATAATTTTCTCTAACTTTTTGTGTTGTATGGTTTTTTGTGATTCCATGCCATCAATTATTTTATCGTCATATGCAGGGTTTGTCAGCTGGGCTTCTTAGGCAGGCAACCTATACAACAGCCAGACTTGGGTCATTCAGGTGACTGTTTGTCTAAATTTTGTCTTTTCTCCATTCATAATGCGCCAGATTTATTTAAGTTTTCAAGTACTATTGATATACGTCAAGATTCATAATACTTCACAGCCCTTAGGATTGCCTTCAATTGTTCTTTGATGCATCTAGGCTCATAGTTGTGACATATCATTGATCATACCATCCCAATAGTATGTCTTATATATTACATAAGACTGTAATAAATTGGAGGTTTTCAAAGGATTTACTCTGCACACCGCTCATAATGAGGTGCTGTGCGCATCTTATTGGAATTTCCGTCTAAAGAAGTTACTCTTTGGATATGTCAAGTGTCAACATAGGAAAAAAAATTAATGAACAATGTGATCTTATTGATTTTCTGCAAGTCTTGCTTTTCTAATATTTTGAAGAGCTTGGGATTAGTTGATTACGACACTCCATGTTATCCTTTCCCCCTTCCCTCCACTTGGCTGTTAAGTTTATTGAAAGTTTTGCGGTTTGGTCTTATTTTGTATTTTTTTTCGAGGTGGTTGTGCTTATTGGGTTTGCTCTGTTGTGCTTTTCTGATGATTCTTGTTGCAAGGCCTGTGATATCACTGTTGGACCTCCATAGAGATGCAGGGTTTTGCTAAAATTTTATGTGTTTATGGAATATTGAGCTAACACACCTTTTGAAAGAATTGGTGTGATAAAACTCAGCAGGTGGAAGAATAAGTGACACGACGAATTTTAGATAATACAAAGACTTAATAACCTACTTCACCATGCATGTTTGGAGTGTCGATTGTAGCTATTTGTGTAATAAGATTAAGCTCAATTTCCTCCTTGGAGCAAAGAGGACCTAGCTAAAAGCACTGTATTATTGGTGATATTGAGGATGATTTTATACAATAGCCCCACTTATTGCTGTTATGCTTTTTGCTTGATAAGATTCTTGCCTATATTCATCCAATAAAAGAAAAAAGGACTTACTTTTCTGCGTCTCTTCTGGTTTTCTTGAAATAGAATTTTGACGAACAAGGCCATTGAGGCCAATGAAGGAAAGCCCTTGCCTCTGTACCAAAAGGCTTTATGCGGTCTTACTGCTGGAGCAATTGGTGCATGTTTTGGTAGTCCAGCAGATTTAGCCCTCATTCGTATGCAAGCTGATGCTACCTTGCCTTTAGCACAGAGACGTCATTACACAAATGCATTTCATGCACTCTCCCGTATTGTGGCTGATGAAGGAGTTCTAGCCCTCTGGAAAGGTGCTGGCCCCACAGTAGTAAGGGCAATGGCATTGAACATGGGAATGCTTGCCTCTTATGACCAAAGTGTGGAGTTCTGTAGGGACAACCTTGGCATGAGTGAGGCTGCTACAGTAGTAGGTAATATAATTTCTGTTCTAATGCTTCTAAGGGTCCTGATTTTAGTCTTAAGTACTTGACTTTCTTCAATGTCTTCCCTCAAGAAGGGTTTAAGCTCAGATTGTAATTTCAAGAGGGGAACAAATGATGCAACTTGTCTTAGAAAAAGAATCAGTAAACTTTTCTTTAGGAAATTTCACCCATCTTTTGTATAGCCTGGTCAATCATTTAAGTTACTATCTGCTAGAGAATGCAGCATCTTTGGGCAGCCTGATTCCTTTCTTTGGTGCAGTTAGTGCCTTACGGAAAAAAACTGCTTGTTGGGAAATGCATATGTTAATCTCTACTTTGCTTACTGCCTTTCTACTTATGAAACTTAAATTCATTCAAGTTGTTTGGTAGATTGAGGGAATTTGGGACTCTGGTAAAGTTGGTCATTGTAGACTGTTAGATGGTGTAAGCTATGCCTTTGAGGTGTTGCCAATGAGTAGGGCAGTTCATTCTTCTGCTCTGACTCTAAAATGTTCTCTAGGAAGTCATTTCTGCTGTGGCATTCAATAACATGGAAATAGTGCTTTGCAAAGTTTGTTTGGGATATTGTGTGTTCAAGTACATTTTTTTCTCTCGCTCTTCACATTGACTGTCTTGAACGTTATTGTTATCATTGGATGATGTAAAATTTAATATCTCCCATGAGGCGCAGTGTTTCCCCTTCTTACAAATCCTTTCTCTTTCCTAAAACACAGGGGCCAGCAGTGTTTCTGGATTCTTTGCTGCTGCTTGCAGTTTACCATTTGATTACGTCAAGACTCAGATACAGAAAATGCAGCCAGATGCTGAAGGAAAGTTGCCTTACTCTGGTTCTTTCGATTGTGCCATGAAAACTTTGAAGGCAGGAGGACCGTTCAAATTTTACACCGGATTTCCAGTATATTGTGTTAGGATTGCTCCTCATGTTATGGTATGTTTCCCTCTGTTTCTTCCAACTAAAGTTCTTTCGATTCCATGTCAGCTTTTACCATATGTTTACTTCTTTGTTTTCCCTATGCAGATGACTTGGATTTTCCTTAACCAAATTCAGAAGGCGGAGAAGAAACTCGGATTGTGATTTGTTTCTAAAAGATACATCCGCTCAGTTGAGCTCTATTAGAATAACATCTTTGCATTGTTGTATTAGTACTTCTTTATCTATTTCTTTAATTTCACACCTTCAAAGTGAAAGGGTGCTTTAAGATTTTTTTGGCGATACCTTGACTCGTGAAATTTAGGTTAGGCATTTGGTCTTTTTTGATATTCCTACCAATTTAGTTTTGGGAGGACTGCTTTATCCAAATGGATGGGAAGATTCTTTTAGCTGAATAAGCTATGTACTTCAAAAACTTTTTTGAAGTAGGTTTTATGGAGTTTTACACCAATTCCAGCTTGTCATCTTTAGCTTGATCTTGTTACCTATATTTGGCTATTCTTAAATGGTTAAGTTTCTCTTGTTAGTATCATCTTGGAATGAGCTATTGAGTATTGGAGTGAAAATGGATCCAAATGGAGCAGAACATATGATAGAGTCATGTAGTTCTTAACTAGTTTAAGATTGAGATATAGTTGTCTATTGGTGTATATGCCTCTAGACAACAAGTACATGTGTTCATGCCCCTATCTTGGGTCAGGCTGTTAAAAACTTTAACTTATTTATCCTTTGTTCTACGCGTTATCTATACAAAATCATGCCTCAAGAGCCTGATAGCATGCATTTTTGATTGATCTGCTTGTTTGTATATAAATTTTGAATTCTACAGGATCTTGTATTGAAGTTTTCCTAGTTTCCAGACTGGGGAGATAGATTAGATAGCTTCTTTTGACATTGAAATTGCTAGGTTTGCATACTATTGTTTTTGATACAAAATCTGGAAAAAACTTATTTGCCAAACAAAACTGCATACAACCTCACTGATTGACCAGAGTATTTAGTCCCATATCAAGGTGCAATGTTGCAAAAACTATTGAACTTGAGTGGAGGTGTAGAGTAGTTTGATGAGAGTATTTTAGAGGCAACAACTGCATTAGCTGCTTCTGTATAATGAGCACCATCCCAGCTAATGTACTTGGATCTATCCTCACATATTGTGTAATTTCCTTGCCCACATTTGTTGTTTGATTCAAAATTGTATGGTGGCCCTCCATATCCACAACATGCCATCAATGGATTCACAAACCCTGCAAAAATAGACCCAATGACTTCTTATAGCGATACACAAGCAAGATATCGGTACATATTTATCCACACACTTAGTATTTACACTATCAACAACAATCCAGTAAAATCCCACAAGTAGGGTCTGGGGAGGGTAGAGTGTACGCAGATCTTAGAGAGGTTGTTTCCGAAAGACCCTCGGCTCAAGAAAAAGAAAATAAATAATGGATCACTGACAACAACAGAAGCCAGAAAAATAAAATAATATTAACATCATAAGAAATAGAAAATAAATATAAAAGCAATAACAATACCCAGTAATAATGCCATAGAAAATAGTGTGGAAGCTACATAAACCACTAACAATCCAAGGCGAAACATTATCAGCCTAGTCCCGCCCCCCGGAAATAATGTAGAAAACGCTAGACTCCCTCCTACAACACTTAGTATTTACACTAAACCAAGCAATTTATCCTTTAAGATAGTGATACACATGCAAGAAATCAGTAAATATATATCCACACCGAGTATTTACACTAAACTAAGCAATTTAACCTTTGAGGTGAAAAGGGTGAATGCGTCATTATATTTTTGGAAAAATGAAAGAAAGGAACACTTACCATAGTTTGAAGAATTGGCAATGAGGTCATATTTGATGGAGTAGACATCAACATAAACAATGGTGGTGTTCTTCAATTCATCTCTTAGTTTTTCGGAGAGAAGGTACAGTTTGTCATTGAATATTTTTGCACCTTCGTTTAGAGATCTTAGGCAACCATGCTCATCATAATCATCCTTATACTTGTTATATGTTGTAAGTGATTTAGGCAAGCACCCTATTGGCCCTGTATTATGTACCCAAAAATTCTTTCCACCTTCTTCATAAATTGCCTGCAATATAATGTATAAATTCAATACGATTGAAGAAAAAAAAAATAACAAGCAAAAAGAGCAAAAGTATACACATTTAGAAAGAAAAAACAAAAGATAAAAAGGGAGAGGAATATAAAAGTATGCTTACCTTTATTGCATTTTCAATTTCATAAATAAAATCAGGAATTTTTAGGATAGCTTTTTCATATGAGAGACCACCAAACACTCCATCCAAATCATTTTGTCCAATATCAATTGTGTAGAGGGCATTCCTTAAATCTTCATCTCCTAGCAAATTTCCATTACCTAAAATATACAAATAATATTCCTAATTTAAGAATTGAACAACAATTAACTAAAAAGAATTCTTGTCTTGCCTTCGAGCCTCTGGTCCAATGGTAAGAGCGTATAAATGTATGGATTAGGCAAACGTTATGAGTTCAAATTTTGTCGTAGATAAGAACCTAATATTTAAATAGAGAGGGGTAGAACGACAAGTTCATTAGCCACCAAGTTTCGAACCGTGAGATTTCTTGATTATAAAAAGAAATTGTTGTCTTTGCATCGTCACTTCACTTTTTTGTCTCTTATTTCCTTTCGGCCTGAAAATGTCATTATTTTTAATAGGAAAGATTAACTTTTTAATATGGTTATAATTTCATATATACCTTTGTCAAATAACTCAAGAGAAAGAGATCGAAACCGATGGAACTGGGCAATTTGGATCTTTAAATTAAAAGAATCTGAGGCTGGAAGAGTTTTAGAACCAGCAATAGCAAAATTAACTCCGTTTGTAAAGTTTTTGCCCATTGACTCCATAAATGGAGTTAAATAACCATTTTTCACACTTTCGCCTGCAATTAAAAAAATGAAAATTAAACAAACAAACAAATAAATAAACAAAAGATGAACACGAGCCTTGAAAATGGACGAGTTAATGATATTTGTGCTTGCTTAACAAAAAAAGGATAAAAAAATTGGAGAAGTCAAGAATTTTCTTAAGGTGTTCGAACTTAAAAGAAGTAAAAACAATTCCCAACAAAAGGTGTTCAATATATGTTATGTACCTACAATGGCGGACCTAGAATTTTATGCAAGCGGGTTCAGTCGGATAAATCCATAACTAACATAAGCGGTATAAGCCGTATAAGCGGGTTCAAAAATAATATCTATACAAAATTTACCTTGCTTTAGCCATAATTTATACATATACACAGTATTATTTTTTGACGAAGCGGGTTCAGTTGAACCCTCTTCTCACCACTTGGGTCCGCCCTTGTGTACCTATAAAATCTGATATTTTACCTATATACGCAGTATAATTTTCCGACAAAAGATGGTCAATTGACTGCCTAACCAAAGTGTGGCTTTGCCTCTGACAACAGTAACAACAAATCCAGTGTAAATGGTATCTTTAAGAAAAAAACAAAAACATATGTATATGCAAAGACGTATACCGTTGAAAAAAAAAACAATAACAATGACCTAGTGAAATTTCATTAGTCGAGTCTGAGGAGACTGTTTCCGAAAGACCTTCGACTCAAGAAGATGAAAAGAGACAATATCAGTACTACCAACAGAAACCAATAACATCATGAAAACCAGAAAATAGATGCAAAGCAAAAGCGATAGCCATTACATAGATCCAACAGTATGAAAAACGAAAGAGTAGTAAGACACAACATTGTCACTAGCTGACTTAAACAAAAACTCTATCAGACTAGTCTCACAAAGGAGCAAATTCAAACGCTTATAACCCAAATTGTGTTAATAAATTGACACTGTTTGTTTACGAAAAATTTTGTGTACGCCATTGCGAGGTAAAATTAAAGTTTAAACCAACTTACATAGAAAATCAATGACTAATTTGCCATCACACATTCGACCAGCTAAATCATGATTGATGGTGTGTTTTTTCGGAAGCTGTCCGATCATTCCACGTATTATAACGTAGCCACCAGTATCAGAATTGGAGTCACCAAAATTGATAATTACTAGATTTCCATTACATTGTGAATCAACAGATAAAGGAAAGAAAAGACCAATAATAAGGGAAATTATAAAAGACAGAAAATAAAATATTCTCTCCTTCAAATCCATCATTTTGCTTCTTCATCTTTGATCAAACATCCTTTTTTTTTTGTTGCAAATTTACTTACAATTTTGAGTATAGGGTAAGTGATAATTTATATCAAACTATGTTTGATATATGGAATTAAGTGTATAATATAGAGACGGAAAAATTAAATATTTTTTTTGAAAGAAAAGAAAGGTAGTTTGAGAAAATGAAATTTTATACCACCTTGTTTTTTCTTCCTTCAATTGAGCTATCTTTTTAGTTAGAAAAAAATATGAAGAAGCTATCTTTTAGGGAAAAAAATTGTAAGAACTAGCTATTTTTTGGTTGATTTCTCTTGATAGTGGAAAAATGAAGAACTATTTTGACCCCTTTAAAAAATAATATAAGAAGAATTTTATGACCAGTTATAGCATAAATGTCAAGGAATAATTGATACTATTAGATAAACAAAAAAGATTTATGTATACGTAGGGATCGTCTGTATTCTGTAATTGTTAAGACAGAAACCAACAGATTAGTAGAGTACCATTAATTAGCTTGTTAAATATTTGTTGAACCAAAATAAAACCGAAGATAATGGCACTATAATACCGTTAGAAAACACAACAAATTTCATGTCATTTATTCATGAAATTAAACATAAACAATAAATGAAGAAACTGAAAAGAGAACAAACAATTAAAACTGAAAATATAATTAATCAATGCAAAATAACTCCAAAGCCCCAAAAAGATTTACAATCAAAACAAAAGAAAAGGATAGAAAGACAAGAATTCATTACCCTTCAAATAAAACACAGCACTACTAGAAATCAGGTGATTTCCGTCCAAGAATTTCCGACCGAAATCGGTTGGAATTAAGAGTATTTGGTCGCAAAACACAACAAAAGTGACTGACAGCAAAAAGAATAAACTTTCCGACCGATTTCGGTCGGAAAATTTGTCAAATATTTGGTCAAACTTGTATATAATGTAAAAAATAATTATTTATTAAAATATTTCCAAATTTTCGACCGAACTCGGTCGGGAACTGATCAAATATTTGGTCAACCTTGTATATAATGTAAAAAATAATTATTTATTAAAAAAATTCAAATTGCTTTTTGAATTTTTTGTTTTCCGTGCAAGACAAAAAACCGAAATAATTGTAACTCAATATTTCCGACCGAATTCGGTCGGAAAGTGGTCAAATATTTGGTCAACATTGTACATAAATAATTATTTATTAA